TGGTGAAGGGTAGGGGAGGTGGTGAAGGGTAGGGAAGGTGGTGAAGGGTAGGGAAGGTGGTGAAGGGTAGGGAAGGTGGTGAAGGGTAAGGAAGGTGGTGAAGGGTAGGGGAGGTGGTGAAGGGTAGGGGAGGTGGTGAAGGGTAGGGGAAGTGGTGAAGGGTAGGGTAGGTGGTGAAGGGTAGGGGAGGTGGTGAAGGGTAGGGGAGGTGGTGAAGGGTAGGGAAGGTGGTGACGGGTAGGGGAGGTGGTGAAGGGTATGGGAGGTGGTGAAGGGTAGGGAAGGTGGTGAAGGGTAGGGGAGGTGGTGAAGGGTAGGGGAGGTGGTGAAGGGTAAGGAAGGTGGTGGTGAAGGGTAGGGGAGGTGGTGAAGGGTAAGGAAGGTGGTGAAGGGTAGGGGAGGTGGTGAAGGGTAGGGGAGGTGGTGAAGGGTAGGGAAGGTGGTGAAGGGTAGGGAAGGTGGTGAAGGGTAGGGGAGGTGGTGAAGGGTAGGGGAGGTGGTGAAGGGTAGGGGAGGTGGTGAAGGGTAAGGGAAGGTGGTGAAGGGTAGGGGAGGTGGTGAAGGGTAGGGGAGGTGGTGAAGGGTAGGGAAGGTGGTGAAGGGTAGGGAAGGTGGTGAAGGGTAGGGGAGGTGGTGAAGGGTAGGGGAGGTGGTGAAGGGTAGGGGAGGTGGTGAAGGGTAAGGAAGGTGGTGAAGGGTAGGGGAGGTGGTGAAGGGTAGGGGAGGTGGTGAAGGGTAGGGGAGGTGGTGAAGGGTAGGGAAGGTGGTGACGGGTAGGGAAGGTGGTGAAGGGTAGGGGAGGTGGTGAAGGTTAGGGAAGGTGGTGAAAGGTAGGGGACGTGGTGAAGGGTAGTGGAGGTGGTGAAGGGTAGGGGAGGTGGTGAAGGGTAGGGGAGGTGGTGAAGGGTAGGGGAGGTGGTGAAGGGTGAGGGAAGGTGGGGTAGGGTGAAGGGTAGGGAGGTGGTGAAGGGTAGGGGAGGTGGTGAAGGGTAGGGGAGGTGGTGAAGGGTAGGGAAGGTGGTGAAGGGTAGGGGAGGTGGTGAAGGGTAGGGAAGGTGGTGAAGGGTAGGGGAGGTGGTGAAGGGTAAGGGAGGTGGTGAAGGGTAGGGAAGGTGGTGAAGGGTAGGGGAGGTGGTGAAGGGTAGGGAAGGTGGTGAAGGGTAGGGAAGGTGGTGAAGGGTAGGGGAGGTGGTGAAGGGTAGGGAAGGTGGTGAAGGGTAGGGAAGGTGGTGAAGGGTAGGGGAGGTGGTGAAGGGTAGGGGAGGTGGTGAGGGTAGGGGAGGTGGTGAAGGGTAAGGAAGGTGGTGAAGGGTAGGGGAGGTGGTGAAGGGTAAGGAAGGTGGTGAAGGGTAGGGGAGGTGGTGAAGGGTAGGGGAGGTGGTGAAGGGTAGGGGAGGTGGTGAAGGGTAGGGGAGGTGGTGAAGGGTAGGGGAGGTGGTGAAGGGTAGGGAAGGTGGTGAAGGGTAGGGAAGGTGGTGAAGAGTAGGGAAGGTGTTGAAGGGTAGGGAAGGTGGTGAAGGGTAAGTAAGGTGGTGAAGGGTAAGGAAGGTGGTGAAGGGTAGGGAAGGTGGTGAAGAGTAGGGAAGGTGTTGAAGGGTAGGGAAGGTGGTGAAGGGTAGGGAAGGTGGTGAAGGGTAGGGAAGGTGATGAAGGGTAGGGAAGGTGGTGCAGGGTAGGGAAGGTGGTGAAGGGTAGGGAAGGTGATGAAGGGTAGGGAAGGTGGTGCAGGGTAGGGAAAGGGTCCTGGATGTGAGGACGTCGTTAGAACACAAAAGTGTTAAATGGTTGTTAGTGTGCAACAGGTAGAGGGTGTCAGCGTCCCTGACACTGGTCGGTGACAGGCAAGAACGACTCTCATAACCACACGTCAACAAACCTGTTTGGTGTAGTCAAAAACTTATTGGTTCTTCCAGCAAAATTGTCTATCAGAATTGTCCCACATTATCAAATATTTCAATATCAACTTTGTTTTTAAGGCTTGCAACACTGTGAACTTTGATATCAAGAATTGTTTGTCCTCCTCCATACAGGATGTGTCAGTATTGTCCCCTTGCAAGGATTGTGAATATCTTGACATCAGTCACACAGCAAAAGGGTTTGTTAAATACCTCATGGAAAATAAATTACCAATAAGAATATTTTCGCATGTTAGATATACCAATAATGCTATAAATTGGAACTCTGAAAGGTAGATGTTTTTCAACAATGGATTCCTTGAGATAAATTTGATAGACTCTGCCCAATCAGTCATAGTAATAATAGTCATTACCGGCCATGAAATGTTCAACAGAGATTCAATTCTCTCAACAAAATTGCTGGGATGTTCAAATTGCCTCAGGCTTTTAGCCATTGCTTGTTTTTTCTATACTTTTAGCTATATGTTCGCGGTGTTTTACTGAATCAAAGTATCCCTCTAATGTTGTAGCTCCCTGTAGCGATGACCATAGCTTAAATGACCATATTTCATAGTTTATTTTCGTTATGCTTGTTTAGTGAGTTTTCATTTAATGAGTATCCCTGGAGTGTTGTACGGACCAATACATCCCTTTAACGGTTCAACATTTCGCCCTGCTTTTCGTTTTTACTTTTAAAGCATAACGGAAAGGGTGAAATATGTCAGTTTCCGGTAACTCGGCCCATTTTCTGTTTCTTACTTCGCGTCTGCAGTCTATTGCAGAAGAAGACAAATGCTTCAATGTTTTCTCTGATATTCTACTTTTGTTTTAAATATCTGTTTAACAATAATTCTTATTTATAACTCTCCTCGTATGCTTTTCGTTTCTTAACCTCCCACTTCCGCCCCCCATATTTGCATCATTCTCATTCCACACTGTGTCCCAGGTACTCCCACTGTCCCATCCCGCCAGCCTTATACACAACTGTTATATGCCACTCTTGTTCTCGTCCCTTCTCAAGACTCGCTCCTCGTGTTGCTTTCCACTACAACAATCTCTGAGGAAGACAGCAAATCTTGAAGCATGCTTCTATGAAACAAATTTGTGTTCATAACTATTTTGCAAATTATATATGTATATATATATATATATATATATATATATATATATATATATATATATATATATATATATATATATATATATATATACATATATATATATAATGTCGTACCTAGTAGCCAGAACGCACTTCTCGGCCTACTATGCAAGGCCCAATTTGCCTAATAGGCCGAGTGATTTTCTTTATTTTCAACAAATTGTTTCCAATTAGTTTATATGAATAATTATTATTATATTATATTAAAAACATAAATTATTGACTTGTGTTAGTTTAGGTTAGGTTAAAATAGGTTAGGTTAGGTAGGGTTGGTTAGGTTCGGTCATTTATCTACGTTAGTTTTTAACTCAAATTTAAAAAAAATTAACTCATGCACAATGAAACGGATAGCTTAATCTTTTCATAAGAAAAAAAATTAAAAATATGTAAATTCAGGAAAACTTGGCTTCTTAGGTAAATCGGGCCTTGCATAGTAGACCGAGTAATGCGTTCTGGCTACTAGGTTCAACATATATTATATATATATATATATATATATATATATATATATATATATATATATATATATATATATATATATATATATATATATATATATATATATATATAATGTAAGTGTGTGGTCAGTAGTGGGTTGAGAGAGACCTGCGCGACCCCACACCACAGCTGTCATACAGTCCGCCAACTGCCCCTCAGGTCGGCCACCTTTCTCATTCTAAATTAAAATATTTCATTTACTTCGTGATAGTCGGTGCTGGCAATATATAAACAGGACATACAGTCAATAGATTCCGATATTGTCAGTTACTTTTGAATCTGATTTTGATCCGCTTTGGAAACAGGGTGATTTAAGGCCTATGAGGAATAGCCTCAATTTCTGTCATTAAGATTCTTAGATTAAGAGAGTGCAGAGATATTTTGTCAGTTGTAATCATCGGTGTATTTATTGTGATTGTGTAAGGTAAACACGGCCTCTGGCCTCCACCTCTTCCCCAACCTCTATCTCCCTAGTCAAGCACACTAGTTGGTTTGTTAGTGCATGTTCCAGTAGTGGTTCTCCCCCCCACTGACGAACACTCCACCCCCCCCGCCCGCCCCTCGCCTAACACGCCACGTCCCGCCCACCCCCCCCCCCCCCCCGTGCCCCATACTCCACCCCTAACACGTCTTCTGCGGTGAGTATGGGTCCAGCAGTGTGAGGGTCCACCAGGCTAGTGTGAGCAAGCATGAAGAGTTTTTAATACTTTATTCAAGCTAATTCTAAGCAGTGACACAGACTGTATTGCCAAGTCCGCAGCATCTTCACTGTCACCTTTTATAGTGGGTGACACCTATGTCACCTTTTATAGTGGGTGACACCTTCCATGTCACCTTTTATAGTGGGTGACACCTATGTCACCTTTTATAGTGGGTGACACCTATGTCACCTTTTATAGTGGGTGACACCTTCCATGTCACCTATTATAGTGGGTGACACCTATGTCACCTATTATAGTGGGTGACACCTTCCATGTCACCTTTTATAGTGGGTGACACCTTAATCCATAGCAGCTTCGTGCATGCTCAAGATTCTCCGTTTTCTTTAGTAGCTCCTGCCGCTCATTTGTCTTTCTTGAAGATTGGGTAATGTTGTTGCACTGGTCGAGACGGTTGTCTTGCGCGTCCTTGCCACCAGCGCCCTCTTGCTTGACATGTTGACATATAGTATGGTATATCTTGATCAATGTTTGTTAATTTATTGTTGTTGTTACTTGCTATATTCCGCGGTGATGGCTCCGTCCCCGCTTGGTCGTCCCGCCAGCGCGACTGTCAGTGTTTCTTTCTCTCTCTCTCCCCACTAGACGTGACCCTCCACCACCACCACCTACGACCCCCACACCTACGACCCCACCACCTACGACCCCAACACCATCACCCACCGCCACGGTCCCTACCCCCTCCTATCCCCGCCCCCCCACCTCTCACTTCCACTCCCCCTGTTGCAGCCGCCATGGGTAGGAGTAGCTCTACCCCGGGGCTGGTGGAGTCTTCTGGCAGAGTGCCCCTGGAGGACATGTGGCTGCCCTCGGCGCCCCCGCTCAAGCTTCCCCCGCTCTGCCCCACACCTGGCTACAGTCCCATCACCAGCCCCAGGTGAGGTCATTACTGCCCCACACACCTGACTACAGTCCCATCACCAGCCCCAGGTAAGGTCATTACTCCCCTACACCTGGCTACAGTCCCATCACCAGCCCCAGGTGAGGTCATTACTAATGCACACCTGGCTACAGTCCCATCACCAGCCCCAGGTGAGGTCATTACTGCCCCACACACCTGGCTACAGTCCCATCACCAGCCCCAGGTGAGGTCATTACTAATGCACATCTGGCTACAACCACAGGTAAGATAACCACCGCCACACATTATTATTAATGTGTGGCAGTGTGTTATTAATAATTAAACAAATTTTAAGAGTGGACTGTATGAGTGGACATTATTAATTTTGGTTACTTGTCGGGTGTTTCCACTGCGACAAAATTTTGAGGGTAGACTTAATAATGCTAAATTAGGAAATGACATTGCAGACGAAGCTGCAAAACTTGCAACTAAGAGAAAAAATGTAGACATTTACATACCACAGAGTCTATCACAGATTAAGAAAGTAATTAGAAACAGAGCAATGCAAAAGATGTACAGTGACCACAACACAGCAGTTGCAACATCAGGATCTGTGGGTTGGTACAAGAATTCAACCAACTACGAACCACTTAGTTTGATGAAAGGGAGCAGTAGAGCAACAGAAGTACACTTTCATCGCATCAGGCTTGGATACCCATGTGCATGGGAAATAGGCTTACAGGTTCCGGAAGATGAGAGGAAATGTCAGCACTGTGGAGAAATGTCCGAAAGACGACTGGAACATTATCTAACACAGTGCACAGTTACAAATCCATTAAGATTTCAACTTAGTTTCAACAGAGCAGAAGAAGTTGTTAAACACATATGGCAAAATCTTACTGAAGCGACCATACGAGTCATAAATACTCATACTCCGCCCAAGTAAAACAGAAACAAGCAACACTTAGTGGGCCAGCCAGAGGCTTAGGGCCCGCGCAGGAATATCCCTGCAAAAAAAATGCTAAATGTACCTAGTAATTCAGCTACACTCGAGAATTAAAATAAAATTAATTAAATGAATTAGTTAGTAGACTACATTACTACTGATTAGTTATATGAAAACATCAGCTTAGCTGGACAGAAGATTTCCTCCTGAACCTGCAAGAACACGGGAGTGGACATCAGGGTGGCTCCTAGCCTAGCAAGAACACGGGAGTGGACATCAGGGTGGCTCCTAGCCTAGCAAGAACACGGGAGTGGACATCAGGGTGGCTCCTAGCCTAGCAAGAACACGGGAGTGGACATCAGGGTGGCTCCTAGCCTAGCAAGAACACGGGAGTGGACATCAGGGTGGCTCCTAGCCTAGCAAGAACACGGGAGTGGACATCAGGGTGGCTCCTAGCCTAGCAAGAACACGGGAGTGGACATCAGGGTGGCTCCTAGCCTAGCAAGAACACGGGAGTGGACATCAGGGTGGCTCCTAGCCTAGCAAGAACACGGGAGTGGACATCAGGGTGGCTCCTAGCCTAGCAAGAACACGGGAGTGGACATCACGGTGGCTCCTAGCCTAGTAAGAACACGAGAGTGGACATCAGGGTGGCTCCTAGCCTAGCAAGAACACGGGAGTGGACATCAGGGTGGCTCCTAGCCTAGCAAGAACACGGGAGTGGACATCAGGGTGGCTCCTAGCCTAGCAAGAACACGAGAGTGGACATCAGGGTGGCTCCTAGCCTAGCAAGAACACGGGAGTGGACATCAGGGTGGCTCCTAGCCTAGCAAGAACACGAGTGGACATCAGGGTGGCTCCTAGCCTAGCAAGAACACGAGAGTGGACATCAGGGTGGCTCCTAGCCTAGCAAGAACACGAGTGGACATCAGGGTGGCTCCTAGCCTAGCAAGAACACGAGTGGACATCAGGGTGGCTCCTAGCCTAGCAAGAACACGAGAGTGGACATCAGGTGGGCTATGCAGTAAATGTTGACCTCGTGGCCACTGCGTCCTGTACTCCAGCCCTGAACTCCGTGTTGAAACCTGTAGAATACTCTCTCACGTCGCCAACGTAGATCTGCTGGGGAATTACAATGTACTAGTTGTAACAGCCTACTATATTGACATTATAACATAGAAAATGATACCTAATGAAATTGAGAGGCGCTTACTTTTTTTTTTTTTTTTTTTTTTGTTAATCATGCCTCATAACCCAGTTGGAATTCTAACGTTAAGAGCTCAAAACAAGAGAAATAATAGATACAACCGGGACACATCTTTTTGTGCTTGGAGAATGCGACAGCTTGATACGTGGTAATCCTTCAATGGCACGACTCTGATGCTCAATTTGCAATTCTTTGGTATTTATGCACAAATATGGCGTCTATCTGGAGAGCACGGTGGTACGTCCGTTTCTCACGCCAGGTGCTGCTCTACTGTGTCGCGTGGCGGACATCTTCCCCCCCCCCCCCCTCTCATCAGCTGGTAGTCACGGCACGAATTTTCGGTGCAAATTTATGAATGAAAGGAGGTAAATGCTAATTTATATGTGAATTTATTCTTCTCAATTATTATGAACATTGCTTAAACTCTAAGATAAAAATCTCAAATGAAAGCAGATTGAAAACTGAGTTTCTATCAAGTGCTAGGTAAAGGTATAGTCACCGCGAACATGTGGTGGCTGATAAAATCGTTCCTTATCATGTTCTAGAACTTCTATATTAGTACGGATAGTTAGATTAGTATCTTAACACAACGTATTTTATCTTATTGTGTCAAGGGTTAGTATTTGGGGTGTCGGAAATTTTCGACAATAACCACTGCCCCACACAGCTGGCTACAGTCACAGGTAAGATAACCACTGTTACACACACCTGGCTACAGCCCCCAGGTAAGATAACCACTGCCACACACACCTGGCTACAGCCCCCAGGTTAGATAACCACTGCCACACACACCTGGCTACAGCCCCCAGGTAAGATAACCACTGCCACACACCTGGCTACAGCCCCCAGGTAAGATAACCACTGCCACACACACCTGGCTACAGCCCACAGGTAAGATAACCACTGCCACACACACCTGGCTACAGCCACAGGTAAGATAACCACTGCCACACACACCTGGCTACAGCCCCCAGGTAAGATAACCACTGCCACACACACCTGGCTACAGCCCCCAGGTAAGATAACCACTGCCACACACACCTGGCTACAGCCACAGGTAAGATAACCACTGCCACACACACCTGGCTACAGACACAGGTAAGATAACCACTGCCACACACACCTGGCAACAGCCACAGGTACGATAACCACTGCCACACACACCTGGCTACAGCCACAGGTAAGATAACCACTGCCACACACACCTGGCAACAGCCACAGGTAAGATAACCACTGCCACACACACCTGGCAACAGCCACAGGTAAGATAACCACTGCCACACACACCTGGCAACAGCCACAGGTAAGATAACCACTGCCACACACACCTGGCAACAGCCACAGGTAAGATAACCACTGCCACATACACCTGGCAACAGCCACAGGTAAGATAACCACTGCCACACACACCTGGCTACAGCCACAGGTAAGATAACCACTGCCACACACACCTGGCTACAGCCACAGGTAAGATAACCACTGCCACACACACCTGGCTACAGCCACAGGTAAGATAACCACTGCCACACACACCTGGCTACAGCCACAGGTAAGATAACCACTGCCACACACACCTGGCTACAGCCACAGGTAAGATAACCACTGCCACACACACCTGGCAACAGCCACAGGTAAGATAACCACTGCCACACACACCTGGCTACAGCCACAGGTGCAGGAATCACCGTGATGATCAGGTACTAATAATAACAAGAGAATCACTGCGTTAATATTATTCAAATCATCATTTAATAAGTAAAAAACAGAAAACAGAGATAATTATTATTAAACAATTGCAATTGAATGTATATTATTCTATAATTTATAATACAATTTTAAGAATTATAGAAAAAATATAATTTGTCTTGTTTAGTTTCTTAATTACCTGTTGTTTACTGTTATGTGATAATTGTTTGGTCTGTCTGTTTGTTTCAGCACTGTTAGGCTCACCCTTGAGTGTGACTGTCTTAGGCTCACCCTTGAGTGTGACTGTCCTAGGCTCACCCTTGAGTGTGACTGTCCTAGGCTCACCCTTGAGTGTGACTGTCCTAGGCTCACCCTTGAGTGTGACTGTCCTAGGCTCACCCTTGAGTGTGACTATCTTAGGCTCACCCTTGAGTGTGACTGTCTTAGGCTCACCCTTGAGTGTGACTGTCTTAGGCTCACCCTTGAGTGTGACTGTCCTAGGCTCACCCTTGAGTGTGACTGTCCTAGGCTCACCCTTGAGTGTGACTGTCTTAGGCTCACCCTTGAGTGTGACTGTCCTAGGCTCACCCTTGAGTGTGACTGTCCTAGGCTCACCCTTGAGTGTGACTGTCCTAGGCTCACCCTTGAGTGTGACTGTCCTAGGCTCACCCTTGAGTGTGACTGTCTTAGGCTCACCCTTGAGTGTGACTGTCCTAGGCTCACCCTTGAGTGTGACTGTCCTAGGCTCACCCTTGAGTGTGACTGTCCTAGGCTCACCCTTGAGTGTGACTGTCCTAGGCTCACCCTTGAGTGTGACTGTCCTAGGCTCACCCTTGAGTGTGACTGTCTTAGGCTCACCCTTGAGTGTGACTGTCCTAGGCTCACCCTTGAGTGTGACTGTCCTAGGCTCACCCTTGAGTGTGACTGTCCTAGGCTCACCCTTGAGTGTGACTGGCTCACCCTTGAGTGTGACTGTCTTAGGCTCACCCTTGAGTGTGACTGTCCTAGGCTAGGCTCACCCTTGAGTGTGACTGTCCTAGGCTCACCCTTGAGTGTGACTGTCCTAGGCTCATAGGCTCACCCTTGAGTGTGACTGTCCTAGGCTCACCCTTGAGTGTGACTGTCCTAGGCTCACCCTTGAGTGTGACTGTCCTAGGCTCACCCTTGAGTGTGACTGTCCTAGGCTCACCCTTGAGT